CTGAAACACAGAAAAACCATGCAACATTATCAGACAGTCACGAAGTCCAGACTCCAGACAAACTTTGATGTCTCTATCAGCAATACAACCAACAACTAGCTGGAACAATCGCCACGGTCTACACAAACTTCGCTGTCTTTACCAGTGTTACATCCACAAATAGTATGTAACAAACAATAGAATTTCAGGCGTTAACGTAGTTCGCGTGTGTCTATGAAGTTTACATCCAAACAAATGTCTAGAACATTCAGCAAACTCCACGGTTCATGAACATTTCGCCGTCTTTGTCAACGTTGTATATATCCAAAAACTACTTGAAAACATTCAGCAGAGTCCAACAGAAGCTTAAACAATCACTAGAAATTCATCATCCACCACCATTCACATCCGTTTTTGATGTTATATCCCACAAGAAGATTCAAAAATCACAACAGCTTCACGGTTTCGTACAAACAATGAGTGGAAAGTTCTCTTCAAGAATATTCAGTTACAGGTCCCTGAAAAAAGGTAGACCCACAGTAACAATGGGCTTCTGGCTCTGTAACGATCACAGAGCGACGGTTGTGGTGGTTATGTGAATTTTAAGTTGGGACAGAATTAGTCCGAGGAAACACGAAAATCAATGGCCGTTAGACTTGCACTGGTTCCCACATCTCTTGTTGCGCGGATCCTCTGGAATTACCAGAGACAATTTTTGACGATCTAGTGATGGTCTAGAAAACGTGATGTCAAACTGTGATGACTTTTAGGAAGACAGAAAAGAAATGCGACGGAAGCTAAAAAGGGAGCTGGGACTGGATTCCATTTATTGCGCCGATTGTCTGTGTTCACAACGGACGGCTATAATCTCTATGGCGGAAAGTCCTGGTTTTTTTTTTTTTTGGGGGGTTCGTACCATGGTGGGGGGGGGGGGGGGGGGTGGACTTTTAGTAGCTTTGTACCAGTTGCTTTGCGCGTACAATATCCGTTTTTAAACACCACTTGGCTTATTTTGTGTGTACACGATCCAGTGCACGTTGGCTGTCCCTGGCTATTGTCATGCCGTGAAGGCGTAGAGTGTCTTTAATGTTGTCGATCCATGTTTTCCGCGGCCGTCCTCTTGCTCTTGTAGTTGATCTTCTGAGATGTAGTGCTTGTGATGGTATTTGATTCAGACGAGATGGCCAAACCACTTAATCTGCAGTTTCTCGATGAATCTAGTACAAGGTGTCGTTCCCACAATTTGTCTGATAATTTCATTATTCACTCGATCTCGTATGGTTAGGTTGGCTGCTTTTCTCAGGCACCTCATCTCGCAGGTGGTAATTTTTCGTATATGGGCTTTAGATAGTGTCCATGTTTGGCACTGGTAGCCTAATATTGAAATAAATATGCTATTAATAATCTGTCTCTTTGCACTCATAGTTATGCTTGGATGTCTTAATAATGGTGGCAATTGGTATATAAGTGCACTTGCTTTCTGACATCTGGTTTCTATTTCTCTGTCAATTCTATTATCTTCTGTGATAATACTTCCTAGAGATTTGAACTCCCTAACTTGAAACAGATTATTACAAGCATAAATGCACTCAATTTCAAAACTGACTGACATCCCCCTAACAACTTCCTAGCACTCATGGGGGGGGGGGGGGGGGGCCCCCTAAACCCCCCCCCCCCCCACCTTCCAGGTGGCAGACCACTAAATGATTGGGGTAAGGGAGGGGGTGTCGGAGGGCAACCCTCTTTGATTTAAGATTCTAATATTTAAATATTGCTATTAAAAAGTAAAGGGTACGTGGCAGAAATTCAGAAACAAAACAAAAAAAAAGGTATCGGCGGGACGTATTTTTGAGAACCACTGGGTTAAACAAACAGGTGGCAAGAAGACACAGTATGTCTGTGCCAGGCGTCATCTTGTCCTATTTCGGTCGCTTGAGTGACGCCCCGGTTAGGTGCTCTTGTACGCACGCACGCACGCACGCACGCACGCACGCACGCACGCACGCACGCACGCACGCACGCACGCACGCACGCACGCACGCACGCACGCACGCACACGCACGCACGCACGCACGCACGCACGCACGCACGCACGCACGCACGCACGCACGCACGCACGCACGCACGCACGCACGCACGCACGCACGCACGCACGCACGCACGCACGCACGCACGCACGCACGCACGCACGCACGCACGCACGCACGCACATACATACATACATACATACATACATACATACATACATACATACATACATACATACATACATACATACATACATACATACATACATACATACATACATACATACATACATACATACATACATACATACATACATACATACATACATACATACATACATACATACATACATACATACATACATACATACATACATACATACATACATACATACATACATACATACATACATACATACATACATACATACATACATACATACATACATACATACATACATACATACATACATACATACATACATACATACATACATACATACATACATACATACATACATACATACATACATACATACATACATACATACATACATACATACATACATACATACATACATACATACATACATACATACATACATACATACACACACACTTACATACACTGTCTGTCTGCCTATCTGTCGAAATGTATGTGTGTGTGTATGCTCTGTCTGTCTGCCAATATGTGTTTGTGTGTGCTCTATGTCCGTCTGCCTGCCTGCCTCCCTGCCTGCCTACCTGCCTGTCTTGTCTACCACATTGTGTTCAGTGACAAATGCAGATTTGGTCTGGACTTGAAGAATGGTCACAACCAAATTCTCCAAATAGCGAGAAGCATGGTCTTTATTTAACTCTTAACTGCAGTTTGAACGCAGTTTCATAATTCAGCTATATACCAGGTTTGAGTCAGGACAAACGCTGCAATATCCTTAATTCTTCTTCATCTTCATCTTCCTCTTCCTCCTCCTCCTCCTTCTTCTTCTTATTCATCTTCTTCTTCTTCTTCTTCTTCTTCTTCTTCTTCTTCTTCTTCTTCTTCTTCTTCTTCTTCTTCTTCTTCTTCTTCTCTTCTTTATTTCTTCTTCTTCCACCACCTTGCCTCTCTATTCGTCTTCTTCCTATCTTCTTCCTTAGCTCCTTCTCTTCTCCGCTTCGTTCTGCTTTTCCTTCTTCTTACATATCCTCAACCTTATTCTGCTTTGTAATGTTCTTCTTTCTCATCCCCATTTCCTCTCGTCTTCTTTTTCATCTTCTGCCTCATCATCTGATTCTTCACAACATCTCGTCTAATATTTACACACTGGTATGATATCGGCAACAATACTTTCCCTAGCTGTCCTGTAGCCCTTACAACCTCTGAGACATAGCTGCGACATTTGCGGCTTACAGCCGTCACATCGGACTTCGGTATAAACAAACTCAACAGGAAAGAACAAACAACAATTTTTAGACTTCGGACTGGACACTGTGGTCTTCGAGCACACCTGTACAGGATAGGCATAAAAGAATCTGCTGCCTGTGATTGTGGAGCAGAAAGACAGACCCCTGGGCACATACTACAGAACTGTCCTTACCTCTCCAAGCGAAGACTGTGGATCTGGCCCAAGGGAGCCACATTGAAAGAGAAGCTATGTGGGACTGGTGGCGACCTTAAACGCACAATCCTATTTGTGACCCAGACGGGACTCAATGTTTAGTATGACTGATGTCGAACGCAGAAGAAGAAGAAGAAGGACTTCGGTCATTTGTTTTCCGGGTTTTGTGAAAGCGTCAGAGACTGATTTGCTTTGCCAGTGCGAAAGAAGCATTTTTTTTCTCCACTGCACAATGCGTTACGTTTCTAAAAAACGATGCGGTGACAACTCAGTTTAAGTACACATTTTACATAGGCCTAATCAATCATTTTGACATATTCCGTCATTTATGCATTTGAGAAAACGTTTCAGCACGGCGCTCATCCGTGTCGTTATAAGATAGAGTAAAAGATCTATCTTCAAACCGAACCTTTAGGTTGACTGAGTTGAGTTGATTCAAGAACCAACATCACAGCACTCAAAGCATTCACATAAGCGCTCCGTCCCAATCTTCAGCAGCCAGGGCAGAGTTCCAGTACTAATGGTGCCAGTAGTATTCTGATTAAACGTCTGTCTTGCCTTTCCTCTGAGAGTCGAGCATAGGCCACAACCTCTCGTCACTCCCCGCTGCATCAATCCCACCAGACTGTGGTGTTCCATTTGCACCTTTGAATTGTACACACTCTCCCACACGGCCCTAACCACATCTGCCTTTTATGCATCAGTATTCCACCAAGTTGTGCAGAGCTAGCCAGTCTGTGTGCCTGTTCATTTCCCAACACACTGGCGTATCCTGGAGAAAAGATCCAGACAATACTCCTCACCCGTGTCTTCCGCAGCGAAGCATGCCACTTTGCTCGAAGTATACCTGTGCTGACATTCCTCAGCACGCTTTCTGTGTACCTTCAGGTTTATTGGGTATATAGTGCTAGCGCCATATTTGTATAGTCTGTCAGGACGAGAAGATAATCCAGGAGACGCCGTTAAATCGGCAACATTCAAGAGACTACAAGAACTTCAAGCCAAAACAGGCGTCGCCAAACATGAGCACTACACAGGTAGTCAAAGAAGAATAGTAAACCAACACAGAACTGGTGTTATCAGTCGCCACACGCTGGGGGATACACCGAAGATGGGATACCATGTGCAGTGAGGATAATCTAACGATTAACTAACTAAAAAAACTAACTTGTGTAGTTTGATAAATTTTGGATGTTAAAGTTAAAAAAAAAAAAAAAACAACAGTAAAGGACCCTCTTCCACGCTTTCAGACGTATTGGGCATATAGGGCTAGACCTATATTTTATAGACCAATAGGGGGTGATGTGGACAATATCACACCGACTGCGTTTACTTCCCAGGGCTATACCTGGTACCCACTCAATGCCGGGCTTACTGGGAGCCAAGGTCATTT